TCACCAAGCTCAGGTTCTGAGGGAGCTCGAACGGCGTCGTGCTGGAAATGGGTCTGATTTTGTCTTCTGTTTTTTCAAGTTAATTTTGGATTGAAAATGGTTTAGGATCTGTGTGGATGAGACTTTTTATGGATTTATGCATTAATGCTTAGTTAAACAATTAGATTTGTTATTACTAAAATGTTAAATTTGGCATTTCTTGCTTTACTATGTTACTTGAGATTTTATATCCTCATTGCTCATCTGTGTTGCTTGATATGTTCATTTTCTGCAATTGGTATGTCGTGATTTGCTTATGGATTACAATTTCGTTTTGGGGTTCGTAGAGATTGGATTTCAGTCCATCTTGTGCAGCTAGATGTGCTGATTTTGTGCATAGATTGTGTGCTTTTTGCACCAGATCATTTGGATTTTGTATAGGAAATTGTCCTGTATACTTAAGTATCAGTTGAAGAATCACATGGTAATGCTAAACGCATCTGACCTCTATACAAATTATATATACCTGCCTACTCTTGTGAAAGTAATATGTTCCCATTTGGATTTTGTAAACTGAGTAATAAAACAAACCTAATCACCCAGGTGTTATGTCAAATGTTTTGTTCAAATTTATTCAAGATACCCAAGGTTTAGTTACTATTTACTACAACTTTCAAATAGTCAAGTCTTTTAATCTTAAGTATGCATTTTCTGAACTTTTTTTGGGGTAAATAAATGCTTTTTAAATCTCGAATGATTATAAAGGGTTTAGCTTTTTAAATGTGTCGGGTCGTTAAAGTTTCCAGCTTAATGTGGTAGATTGAGTTATTTACTGAGTACTGTTGGCCAATATAGTTGATTCCATAATCTGTTAAGGGCTTGTAGCATGAATATCTTGATGGGGGCGTTAGTGTTGCTGGTTTTTTGGCTAGTGTCTTTCGTCAAAGTTTGTCAAATTTTTATGAATGAAATATACGTGAAGCAACTCAAAGAGTTATACTGTACGGTTAAGCTGATCTTGTCGAGTTACTGGTTAGTGATAGATGACCCAACCTTGTGCAAAATGTTTGATTTGTGTGATGATTTTTGTTGTTCAAGTGGACTTGTTGTTCGTGTTCGTATGGATACTGTAATTTACTTATCCTCTTTGCCCTTGTATGAGGTGTTGTGACTTCTTGACGGTATGCTGCTTAGACTGGGTATTGCTAATCTAGTTATTACTAATTTTTATGTTCTCGAAATTGAGCATCGACTTGGACGGGAATGTTGTGCTCAGCTGGACAGTGCAGATACTGTTGATGTTTACTTTTGAATTAAGTTTTTGTTGCCTTGATGTTGCAAATATTAGACTTCATGCGGTGCTTTTGATCATGCAAGAACTCGGACCAGATTGCATGTTTGTTATGTTAGCAAACAAATCTTTAGCAGTGGGATCGGTTATTTCTAGATCATTAGCTGTGCCTGTTAAATTTTCCGTATGCTTGCCTAATCGAATCTTTGTTCTGATTGATGGCTACGTGTGGCCAAAAAACTTGGAACAAGTACCATTTGCTATTGGGCTTTTTCTTGTTTGGGGATATTCGTAGGATTTTCGTTGAAGGGTTGAATTACGAATCAACCCATGACCCAATAACCTAAGAATAGTGTTGAATTCTCCTAAAGAGCACGACCTATACGAGCTAGAAGTAGTGGCTAGAGAAAAAGAAAGCAAAAAGACAATGCGATAGGGATGTTTTCTGGGTGGGTGACTTAATGTGCTGCAGTGAAAAAGCGTTAAAGTGGTGTGCGGATTGGATGTGAATGGTTTATCTGGCTGGCTTTTGAGTCTCCCCTATATTTAGGCCCACCACCATGCTCTTTTTCAGTATTGACATTGCCCTTCATAAATCCCAAGTTTTGAAGGAGATATAAGGCTTAACAATGTCGTTTGGTCGTTAGGAAAAATTTATATAAAAAAAACTTGTCTTGTGTGTCTAGTGGACAAACCCAATTAGAGAAGAGGCTTTAGATTCTTTGTTCTGACTGAGAAGAGGCTTCAGATGCATACATCATTTGATGTATGAGTCAGGTAACCGGCCCTCAATTAAAAACAGAAACAAAGAAGCATGGTGTACCATAGATTCCTTTCCTCCATCACTTTGGTAGACATCAGAGATACGCAGCCGATTTTACTCAGTACTTCTCTTTTCTTGATGAAGCAAGGGGTTTTGCTTATAGAGTAAGCAATAATTTGAATGCAACGATGATTTAAACTACAAGGGGGAGAGAGTTTCTCACACATACATTAGCACTATCAAAATATCTTAGAGGTTCAAACCTGAGATCGTTCGTTTGCAAATCAAGATCTGTTCTTACTGAGCTAGAATCCGTTAGCAAGCAAACCAAATCTCATTGTGTTGTATAGTGTGCCATAGATCCTTTTTTTTCCCCTGGCTTGTAGAGCTGCAAGCCGCCACAAAAATTCCCAGAATTTGTGAATTTTGAATGCTCTAGATGTTTGCATCCAACCAAACAAACAATATTCAAATGCTGATTTTTTTGACATGGGAGATAAAATTAACAAATAACACAAATCAATGTCAACACAAGCAACAAAGCATCAACCCTTATAATCTTCCTAAAACATCGTCCCGAGAATCCAAAGATGATGCTAATTATACGATTAAGAAACTGATTAATTAATAATCTATTAAACTAATCCATCAATCAATCCCTTTATTCTATCATTTTCCCTAATCCCCCAACACAACAAACGGGCTTAACGACACGCCCAAACGGAGTACCTAACGAGGCCGATCTCCCCCACACGTGTCACTCCCACGCTCCCACGGATCCCCCAACCCAAACGGACTTATCCTATTTTGATTTTGGGATTTTCTTCCCCACCCCCTCTAAAGTTGTCAAACTTTCTGTCTCTTTTTCCCCCATTTTCTCTCTCTCCAAACACCACCCTTTCTCCTCTCTCTCTCTCTCTCTCTCTCTCTCTCTCTGACACCACCTCCTCTCTGCAAACTTCACTGTGCAAGCCTTTGCTTGTCTTTCTCGCTTTTCTTTGTCTCTTTTCGCTCGAAAGCTTCCTCACTTTTATATTCTCTATCGCCCTCTCCACAATTACACACACTCATCATCTTCTGCCAGTCATGCTTCAGAGCTTAGTTCCTCAATCCCCAATAGGCGCCGCGAACCCTAACAATAACCCTAGCTCCTCATCTTCCTCCATGAAGACCAAACGCGTCGACCGCGACCTCGCCGGCGGAGAATCATCCGGCGAAGACCCCTCCTTCACAAAGCGCCCCAATTCCGGCCGGAATTTCTCCCGCGAAAAAACCTCAGACGAGCGCGAGAAGGAGCCCGTCGCCGAGGGCGAGTCGGCCGGTCTTAGACTCCTCGGGCTTCTCCTACAATGCGCCGAGTGCGTCGCCATGGACAGCCTCGACGAAGCCAGCGACCTCCTCCCGGAGATCGCCGAGCTCTCCTCGCCGTTCGGATCTTCGCCGGAGCGAGTTGGCGCGTATTTTGCCCACGCGCTTCAGACGCGCGTGATCAGCTCCTGCTTAGGCACCTACTCTCCCCTCACCACAAAAACCCTAACCGTAGCTCAGTCCCAGCGGATCTTCAACGCTCTGCAATCCTACAACTCCATCAGTCCTCTAGTCAAATTCTCTCACTTCACGTCCAACCAAGCCATCTTCCAGGCCTTGGACGGCGAGGATCACGTCCACGTCATCGATTTGGATATAATGCAAGGCCTCCAGTGGCCAGGATTGTTCCACATCTTAGCCTCGCGGTCGAAGAAGATCCGATCAATGCGGATAACCGGGTTCGGATCCTCGTCGGAGCTTCTTGAGTCGACCGGGCGGAGACTCGCCGATTTCGCGAGCTCGCTCGGCCTTCCCTTCGAGTTCCGGCCCCTGGAGGGCAAAATCGGAAGCATTACCGAGCTGAGTCAACTTGGAGTGAGACCGGACGAGGCCACAGTGGTCCACTGGATGCACCATTGTCTGTATGACGTCACCGGCAGTGATTTGGCGACGCTGAGATTGCTGGGCTCGCTGAGACCGAAGCTGATCACGATCGCCGAGCAGGACCTGAGCCATAGCGGAAGCTTCTTGGGGAGGTTCGTGGAGGCCTTGCATTACTACAGTGCGCTGTTTGACGCGCTTGGGGATGGATTGGGAGCGGACAGCCTAGAGAGGCATATGGTGGAGCAGCAGCTGTTTGGCTGCGAGATTAGGAATATTCTAGCCGTGGGTGGGCCCAAGAGGACCGGGGAGGTGAAGGTGGAGAGGTGGGGGGATGAGTTGAAGCGGGTCGGGTTTCGGCCCGTTTCGCTTGGCGGGAACCCGGCGGCCCAGGCAAGCTTGCTGCTTGGGATGTTTCCCTGGAAAGGATACACCTTGGTTGAGGAAAATGGGTGCTTGAAGTTGGGTTGGAAGGACCTCTCCTTGCTTACAGCCTCTGCTTGGCAGCCGTTGGATTGAATTACTTTGACCCGAGTGGCCGATTGGCCGATTGGGTTGCTTGGATGTTGCGAAGGAGACCAACATGATCCACCACTTTGTTTGTTGGGGTGAAATTGATGAACATTGGGGAGTGATGAATTTGATAATTGGCAAACCAATTATCACGACATGTTGGGGATCGATGGAGGAGGTGGAGTAGTATTTGTTTTCACTTGGCTGTAATTCTTTGAAGGATAAAAACAATGTAGTTAGTTTTTGTTTTTTATATTTAAATTTATATGTGAAAAGAAAAAAGAAAAAGGAAAAAGATTCATATCTGATGGGGTCTAATCTATAGATGGTGAATTCAAGTGACAATCATTGGAGTTCTTAAATGAGTTACAATTGTTTAATTCATTTGAGAATAGTTAATGTAAGTTTTGGTGATGCAATGCCATGGGTTGGGTGGAAAGTTGCAATCAAACATGGAAGAATAGAAAAGGAAAACAAAGAAGACTTGTCCTGCTTGGTGTGCTGATGATTTTAAGGTCACATTTTGTGAGTGGGAGTCGGGATTGAATTGAGCTATTTCAATTAAAATAGAGTCATGGTTGTTGTTTGGCGCGATGGGGGAATTGTACTTGTTAAAATAAGGGGAATTGTACTTGTTAAAATAAATAACAATACAACATATTGTGTGTTACAAGTCTTACCTAAGGATGGAATTCATAAAGATTGACTTGGACTAGACTCCAATTCAATTCAAACTGGGTTTGGTGCGTGGAGGGGTTGTACTTGTTAAAATGGATAATAATCTAACATATTATGTCTTATAAATCTCATTTAAGGATGAAATTCATAAGACTGACTTGGACTAAACTCCAATTCAATTCAAATCGGATCAGCAAACGAACCCTAAGATTTTAAGAATTAGTAGGGAGAAAATGAAAGCTTGCTGGGTTGGTCTGGGTTGGGTGATTGGGGAATTTGGGATTGCATAGTCCCCACAAATGAAATGAGGGCACATGGAAGTGTACTCTAGACTAGACTATGAAAGCTTACCTCGCTTTTGTCAGAAATTCAGATATGCATATGCTGGTGCTTCTGTAATCCCTACAAACCAATCTCTCATATACAAAAGAAGTGGCTATCCTTCTCTTCTTTCATTGTTGCGTATCAGTTCCAGGTTGGCTGAATGGAATGAATTGGCTCAAACTGACATGATAGAGACCTTTTTTATGCAAGAGTGAAAAAGTTACTTCTCTCTGTAACATTTCAAGATCTATCTTTAATGAATTTTAACATGATACGGATTAAAAGCCAAAACTAAAGCATTCCTTCACATGTTCATCGTACCACTTTAATGACTCATCAACTAGTTCAACAATTCTAACTTTTTAACTATATTTCATATCAAAATGCCACTATGTTCGACCCTATAAATTTGTATGTTCAACTTTACATTCAACTATTTTTACATAAATATATATATTTTAATGTTATTTGACCTAGTATTTGTGGGTCTTTTCACACGAGTGATTCCATAGTGAGGACTAAATCTAAGACCCTTAAATGACACCTCATTTTTTAACCGTTTGATCAAATTGATTAGCCTTAAAAAAGACCATCGTTATGAAATTCTACTTTTCGACATGCAAACATAACATGGCTCATGCTTATTGAGTTTCCAAAACCAAAGAAAATTGGGCCAGGCTGAGGTTAGAGAGGGCTAGGCCCAATAGCAACCAAGTCAAAACTATAATTTCATAGAAATTGAGCCAATGTATGAACCAATGAAAGTTGGGCTAGCCTGCATTTTAGAAAACTTTAATTTAAACGGAAAAAAAAGTATTTTTTGTATATAAAAGTTATGCAATTTTTCTGCATATGGTTGCAGTTTGGTTATCACAATTTTTCAATGAAATTATGAACTGACCGACATATTGTTGTATGGTAAAAAGATGAATAATGAACGGACCAATATATTGCGGTATACCGCAATTGTCGGTATATTACAGTCGATATAGGGAACAACATCTAATATTAGAGAATTTTCCATTAACAAAAAAAAGAGTTTGCTCATGCTTAAAAATACTGTTGAAATAAGTAGAACTTTTTATCATTGGCAATGATTCTTTAACTCATATACGGAGATAATGAACTTTATTATTAAAAATAAATCAATACAATCCACAATCATGCTAATGCATAATTAATCAACTAAATAGTTTTTTTTTGGTTTTTTTTTTGGGATCAAATAGAAACTTCATTAGATAAACTTCAACGGTACAATCAAAGACATCTAAAATACCAATCCTAAGAGGGCAACAAATTAACATGCTAAAAGCAAAACTAACGCGGACAAAAGCCACACTAAAACTACCGGCCCACTTCACCACAATTAGCTATAAGCCCAAATAAAGCCCACAAACCAACCTTAAATCAACCCATGAGCCTAAACGAACTCTAGTACCATAACCTAAAGAAGCACCGTCGCGGCCACACCCATTACCGCATCCTTAACAGATCTGAGAAAAATATGATTTCCAGCTATCTACTTGTGCATAAGAGCGAACAAATAAACGAAAACAACAACTTTTCCAAAGAACAATTGAGTGATTTGCAACAACCTCTGTCAAAGATGATGTATAATCAAATTTAAAGAACATAAACGGCGTTAGGGAGCGGATTTTGGGAGTAGGATTTGATTGGGAATATAGACTAAAAAGGGTGATTAAGAACTTCAATCTAACCATGGCTTAGAAGAAACCACCACAATGGGCTTTTTATTCAAAATGCCTTAGTGGACTTATTCACTAACCTAAAAGGAAAAGACGAGAAGATAGAAGGGGGAGGAGAGGCAGTAATGCTTCTTCCTTTTCCCCCCTTTAGGAAATTTTCCTTTAAGACTCATAGAGGGAGAGAACGGCTAGGGTTTGGGTTCGGGAGTGCTTCCTACCTTAATCAACTAAATAGTTGATTGCAAGCTAGAGATTATCTCTTGCTAACTCACTAATAACAACCTAACAAAATTACCAACATAATCAATTAGTTTGCAATACTAATTGAAACCCAGGTTGCTAGTGTATAAAGTTTAATTATTTACTAATTAAGTTATATCAATTTACTAAATATTCAAATGATATATTTTCAAGGCTGAGATTAAAAAAATAAAAAAATAGAGGGAACTTTAAGAGATTGGCAGAGAATACACTCCATTAGTAATACATTCAAAGTCTAGTTGAGTCCTATAGAGAGGAAAAAGATGAGAGAGAGAGAGAGAGAGAGAGAGAGAGAATAAAAAGAAAAAGAAGAAGAAAAGAAGAAGAGAGAAGAGAGAAAGATCTATCTAAATGATGAAGTCCTACCCTCTTTTAGTTAATATTAAATAATTATACGTATTTATTTTAATAATTAATTAAATTACATTGCGGTTTGTAGTATACCACATTATTTGGATATGCAGAACTGCAATCGCAACCTCATATTGCAGTCGTTTCTATAAACCGCATGTTGCGGTCGGTTTTCGTGATAGGTCGGTTTAGATATGATAAAATCTCTGTCGGTATTTGCGGTTTTTCAAATTTTCAGTCTAAAATGCCAGCCCTACATTTATATATAAAATGTAAATGAATTTTTAATAAATTATGCATTTATTACTTACTAATTACGCTGAAACGCCCTTAAAAAAATGAAAATCACAACTTCACAACCGGTTGACCTCTATGTTAACACCAAAATCCATCAAAAGCCCGCACGCTTGGGTCTCTCTCTCCTAAACAAAACAAAACACAAAGCCCTCTTTCTCTCTCCTCTGCGTTTCCCAAAAGCCTCCGAAGACTGACATAAATTACCAAGACAAGTAAGTTTATCGTCTCCTTCTTCTCTTTCGAATTCTTTTGCCAAATGTAACATATTTCTCAGTTTATATATTGCATGAAGCATTCTGGGTAGCGATTGATTGATTGATCATAAAGTTTATTAGGATGATATCTCTAGAGGGTTTTGAGCCTGTCGCTGTCTCTCCACACAAACAAGACCCAGCATGGAAACACTGCCAACTTTTCATCAAAGACCAGCCCAGTGGAGTTAAGGCTGAGCTGAAGAAGTGCATATATTGTGGCAAAGTGTTTCAGGGTGGTGGAATTAACAGGCTTAAATCCCACCTTGCTGGTCGAAAGGGCAATGGTCCTACTTGTGACCAAACCCCACCAGATGTTCGTATTTCCATGTTACAGAGTTTAGATAATGGGATTGCAGCGTTTAGGCACAGGAAGAGTCAAATTGTTGCAAACCCACATCACAGTCCTAGTGAATTAGACAATTCATTTGCTGAAAATGGGGAGTGCAAATTGATGGTAGGACCCGATTCGAATTCGCTTGTGAATCAAGAAGAAGATGTTGGAATGAGTGGGAATGGAGTTGGGTTGAGTGGTAATCTGACTAATGTACCCCTTGAAGTAGACAATTCTTATAGGAGTAATGCTGCAATGCATAGATCAGCTGGAGTGCCCAAATTGAATTTTTCGGTGAATCAAGAAGAAGATGCTGGAATGAGTGTGGATAGAAGAGTGAGGTGGAGGGGTGGAACTTCTTCTGCAGATACTGGTTCTGGTTCTGTTGATGGCGTTACGAAATTGAGTAACGTTTCAGCTCGTATTCCTATTGCAGTAGGTAGTGCTTTTTCTGAAGACACCCAAGGGAGATCAACTGGTTTTCCCAACTCATATTGGTTGGAAAATGAAGAAGTTGGCATAAGTAATACAAATGTGAGTGCAAGGAAGAGGGTGAGAGGTGAAAGTGCTGTGGGGGCTGCCAATGCTGGAACTGTCGACAATAATTATGAGGTGAAAGAGGTCGGCAATCAACAAATTCATATGGCAATAGGGCGGTTTTTATATGAAATTCAGGCTCCCCTGGATGTGGTGAAGAACTCGGTTTATTTCCAGCCAATGATTGATGCTATTGCCTCTCGGGGAAAGGGGACTATAGCACCTTCATATGATGACCTTAGGGGTTGGATATTGAAGAATGCAGTTGGAGAGGTGAAGAGTGATATTCATCAACACATGGAAACTTGGGCAAGGACTGGTTGTTCCCTTTTAGTCAACCAATGGAGTTCTGAGAAGGGTAAAACTTTGCTAAATTTTGCAGTGCAATGCCCTGAAGGAACAATCTATCTGAAATCTATGGATGCTTCCTACTTTATTTTTTCCCCAGATGCTTTATTCGAGTTTCTTAAGGAAGTGGTGGAAGAAGTTGGAGTTGGGCATGTTTTGCAAGTCATTACAAATACTGAAGAGCAATTTGCTGTTGCTGGGAAGAGGTTGATGGATACATTCCCTACCCTGTACTGGTCTCCCTGTGCTGCCACTTCCATAGATTTGATCCTTGAGGATTTTGGAAAAGTTGAGTGGATAAATTCTGTAATTGAACAGGCTAGATCTGTTACAAGATTTATCTACAAACATGTTGTCATTTTGAATATGATGAGAAGGTATACTTTTGGTAATGACATTGTGAGGCTGGGAGTAACTAGGTTTGCTACAAACTTTATGACATTGAAGCAAATGGCTGACCTTAAATTTAATTTGCAGTCTATGGTTACTTCAAAAGAATGGATGTGCTGCCCCTACTCCAAAACACCAGAAGGATCAGCAGTGCTAGATATATTAAGCAATCACTCATTTTGGTCATCGTGCA